GGACAGACCAGGGAGTCAGAAAGAGAAAGACGCAGAGGCAGAAAAGAAAGGGCACCGAGTCAGTACTAGTGTGAGGGACCGGGTGTGGAAACAGGGTTAGAAGCAGAGAGGCAGGGATGTGAGAACACATGCCAAGAAGGAAGGGCAAGGGAGAGAGACAAAGAAGCACGATTGTGACAAGTGTCGATGAAGACCAAGAGGCAAGATAAAACCAGGATCAAGGGAAGGAAGCCATCCAAAGGAGGAAGGAAGATGGAAAGATGGGAACAACATGTAGGAGACACAGAATGATGCAGAGAAAGAAATGGAGAGTCAGAGAAGAAAAGAGGTTTCTGGGTTTCCTGTGGAACCCCCTTGTGTCAGGGGGAACTTTCCTGGGCCTGGAGATAGGCAGTTTTAACAGAGCCCTTAGGCCTCCAACTGATCTGCACCCCACTCCTGGTGAAGGAGGTCCCTCATGGTGGGGAATCTATGGACGGGCTACAGGGCATCCCACCCCAAACCTCCTCTTACCTGGGCTGGAGGAGTCTCTGTCTGTCCTCAAAGCTCCAGTTCCTTTATATCTCATTTCCCCCACCCCCTGTCTAAATTTGGAGTCCTTCCGGAGGGACCCTCCCTCCCACCACTCTTCCCTCCTGGCTCCTCCTCCTTTGATCCTTTGGCTCTGGAGGTGACAGGAGGACAGCAGGGCCCCCAGATTTGCCCATGAAAGGTCTGCTGCCTCAGCCTCTCTGGCTCCATGGCCTTTTTTTAGTCCTTGGGCACATTCCTCCCCTCCAAAGGGCTGATGAGCAGATAGTGGGAAGACAGGACCTTCTCGCACCGCCTCTCCCACCCCACCATGGCCCTTACCTCAGTTATTTTTAACCTGAAGGGTGAATTGAACACATGGGTGAGGGTCACCTTCTCCTGCAGGCCAAATGCCTGTCCTCTCCCTCCCAACCATGGGCTTTCCTCCCCTGTTCCCCAGCCTCTCCTTCCCACTCTGACCTGCCCTCACACAGCCCCAGGCTGGGAGCATCTTCCTGGTCTTGGAACTGGAGTCCCCAGTGCTAGGGACTAAAAGCTGGAGTATAGTGCCCAGGGAAGGGATCTGCTGTCCACTTCCATGGCTCAGTTTTCTTTTGTCAGGAACTTCTGTCCTGGCCTCAGTCTGCACAAGTGCCATGCCTGGTCTCCTTCTATTCCCCAAGTCTCCAGACAAGTGTCCTCCCGAGGTCTTGAGGCCACCCGGGTTTGGGGACACATCTGGAGTCCCCACCCCTTCCCTGATGCCCCTGATAAAGTGGCCATCATCCAACCTGCTCAAACAATGGAAGGGATTCTCCCCTGCCGCCTCAGGCCGATTTTCAAACAGGGCCCCAGTTCAGCTCTCTCACATGTAGACTTGACCGTGTCTGTGCCCATCTTCAGCCACACATGCAGATTTTTCACACTTACCCACTCAAGCTTGCAGATTTCTTTTCTACTTTCTTTTGTGTACACGGATGCACACATTTGCACGTCCACATTTGCACACATAGGCTTTTGCCCTCCCCTGCCACTCTGTGCTCCTGGGGTGGGGTGGGCAGAAGCAGATGGTGTTAATCCCAGGGCCTGAGGGAGGAGGGGGGTGGGTGGGGGGCTGCCCCCTTCTGCCTCTCCGGGCTGCCAGAGGGTGCAGGTGCCTGGCAGGCCTGGGGATTTACACCAGCTAGTCCCCAGGCTCCGCATTCCATGGGGGTGGGGCTCTGTCACCTGCCCCCTCCCCAGGCAGAACTTTGGTGCCCCCTTCCAAGCCCTCCAGGGCTAATACTCACATGCCCTTCTTTGTGGGTGTCCTCAAGCACCCCAGGTCCTCAAGGCTTTGCTCCCCATCCTCCAATGCTGCCACCTCTCAGAGGCTGTAGGTGTCAGGTCTTCAGCAGGCTGTTCCTGTTATGACTAAGAGTGGACATTGTGTTCAGGAAACAAAGCCAGACTCCCCTGCTCTGGCTTCCCCCCACCCTCACACCCAGGAACACTCTCCCAGCCCCCCTCCCACCAGTTTACTGTCACCTCTCAATATAGCTCTAGGGTGTGGAGGTGGGTAGGGAGACAGGGGTCAGCTTCTCTGGGCAGGAGCACTTTCCATTAAGATGTGGCCTCTCCCCAAGCTCCCTAGCTCCCTAGGACGCAGCTGCCCCATTCCTGGGCTCAGGAACACACCTCTCTCCCCAGGGCATTTGGACCTTTTCTCAGTGTCCTTGGAGGGACCTGAGTTGACCCCACATCCCCATCTCCTGCAGGTGCTTATGCCAAATCATTACCCCCAGGGGATGCAGGCCACCTGTCCCCAGCTCTAGGTTACTCGAGGCCCCAGAATTCGAGCCAGGGGGTTAGCCCATGGCCCAGTGCGTCACTGCTTGGTTCCCATAGCTCTGGGGACATGATAAGGAGCTGAGAACACCAGGTCAGTCTGGGTCGGGTCCAGGTGACAAAGACCAGGCTTTGTCCTCAGGGAACCCTGTGCTCTGAGCAGGCCTCACTTGGTATAGGTGGTGGTGGCAGGGCAGCGGGTAGTGGAGATGGGGGGGGGTTAGTCCCCCGCTTTATGGAAGGAGGAGGAAGGAAGGTGTTCGCTCAGCCCCAGGCCCTGCCCCTGTCTGCTCTGCTGTACTGTCCTCTCCCTTCCCCAGGCTGCTTCTCTCCCTGGCTCTCACATACTGCTCTCTGTCCTCCCTCAGCTGCCATGAAACAGCTCCTTATTCTGCTGGGAGTCCTGGCCTATGAGGACAGGGATGGAGGCTTTGGCCACACGTGAGGGTGCCAAGGAGGCAGGGCTGGCCTCCCTGGCACAGGTTGCCTCTCTTCTGCCTGGCTCGCCATTGCATCTGTCTCTATGTCTCACCTTCATTTCCTCTGCCTGCTTCCCCGTCTCAGAGTGGGACCTGCCTCCGATTCTCCCTGACCCGTATCTCTGCCCAGCTCAGGGTCTAACATGAGGCTCTGCCTTCTCCAAGCTGGCCTCTTCTCTCGCTCTAGGCCTCCACATCTTGCTCCAGGCTCTTCCTCCTCCTCTCTCCAATCTCCTTGCACCTTCCTGACTCTCCTTGCATTTGCAAGTGACCCAGGATTCTTTCTTTTACTTGGGATCAATGCCCTCAGCTCTTCAAGCTTCTCCCTCCAAGGCTCCCTCTCCTTTCCTCTCTCCCCATCCCCCTCAGCACCCCTCCTTCTCCCTGGCTTGGCTCTCAGTCCTCTCTCAACCCTGCGGCCTGCGTCCAGCCCCTGGCCATTCTCGAAGGATCCGTATCTTTTGCAGTCTCTCTTGCTCTGGTTGCTTAGGTGCCCTGGGTCTCTCTGCATAGCTCCCTTTTCAAGGGTCCTCTCCTTTGTCTCTAGTTGTCTCTTCATTGCTGTTGAAGTCTGTTCCTAGCCAGAGGAATGGCCCTAGGTATCTCGGTCCAAGCCGAGGTCGTGCCACTACACTCCAGCCTGGGCGGCAGAGTGAGTCTCCGTCTCAAAAAAAAAAAAAAGTTAGAGCTGGAAAAGAATCCTGGAAGTCACAGAGAACTGAATTACTTTGGCCTCTGGGGCTGTGTGGTTCAATTGAGCGGGATAAATGAAAAGGAAGCATCCTGGTTTGAGGGTGCTCTGTCTGGGTTGGCCTAGGGAGGGAGAATGGAGGCGGCTAGGAGGAGAAAGGTGGTGGCGCCTGTGGATCTTTCTGGAGCCTCCTCATTTCCTATATCTTTTATCCTTGTCTCTGTTTCCTCTGGCTACCTTGTCCCCTGGTTGCTCAATCTCTTTGTCCACTGCCACCCCCTCAGATCTTTCCTTGTCCCCTCCCTACCCCCTTTTTCTCCTCTGCTGTCGCCTGCTATTGTCCAGTACTGGTTTCTCCTTCTCCAGCATAGGGCCCTTGCCCTGACTGCCACAGTCAGAGCTCAGAGTTCAGAGCCGGGTACAGAGCAGGAGTGGGCTCTGAGTTGGTGGGTTGGGGGAGATCCAGTCCAGGGCTGAACCATGGCTTCCCAGGTTCCCAGTGGGGCCGACAGCCCCAGTGCCTCCCAAGCCCCTGCCCTCTGTGGACCACAGTCCCAGGCCCACCTAAGCAACCCAGCTGTGGCAGGAACTCCAAAGGGGCTGAACTTGTTTAGTTGGAGGAGACTTACTCCTTCCTCCACCTCCCGACCTTCTGGGGAGCCATCCCTTCCCTCTCTCTCCCTGGAGTCCTGCTCACACATAACCTTCCCCAGTCCCTCATCTGTCTGCCTCCTCTCAAGAAGACTTGCCATAAATGGGCCGAGAGAACCCCATCTTCCCACAAGCCCAGAGGACAAAGGGCTTGGTAATGGGAATTACAATAAGAAGAAATGAATGGGAAGAAGGGAGCACCGTGGGCCAAGGGGGCTCGGCCCCGGGAGGAGCTGAGGACTGCAGGTGGGCTGAGAGTGTGTTTCTACCAGCTGTGGTGGGGAGGGGGTGCGCTGGCCTCTGGAGGTGGCTGGAGAGGGTGGTGGCTCTATTTGTAAGGGGATGTGGGCTACAGCTGTGAGTCCTTGTGTACTCTCAGAGACTCGCCTGGGACTGGCATTTAGGCAACCATTGCCTCACCTGGCCCAGTGGTTCACACTTCTGCGGGCTCAGAAAGGGCACTGGCCAGCACCCACACCCCGAACTGCCGCCCCTTGCCCAGCCCCGGGCGTTATCCATGGTGGTGGCTTGGGGGCAGGGTTGATAGAAGCTGGGGTGCAGGTCCACAGTAGATGGGCTCAGGGCGCTCTAGGTGAACTTTAGGGGTCTCCCTAAATCTTTAAATCCCAGCTGGACTGGAGAGAAGGCTGGGAGGAGAGGTGTCGCCTCTGCTGCATTTGGCTGGTTTGGAGGAAGTGAAAGGGGGTTTCAGTGCTGCTCCAGGAAGCCCTCCTAGGCCAGGCCTTTGAATTTTCCCCCTCTCTCCTGCATTTCCACCTCCCCTAGTCCAGACCCCACCCCCGGGTCCCCAGGGCAGTGAAGAAGAGTCTGGAGTCAGGATCTTGGCTTCAAGGAAAATTGCTTTATTCTGCTTCCTCCCAAGGAGCTATTACACAGGCTCCAGGATGGGGCTTCGCTGGCACCCCCAGGGCTGAGCAGATCAAGATGTGGCAAAGCTACTCCTCATTCAAGCCCTTTTGAAAGGAAATAAAGTCCAATTAGTCCTTAGAGAGATGGTATTGGGCAGGGATGGGGCACTGGAAAGAAACGTGAGAGGGGTCTGATGGTGGAGGCCTGCTGTGTGGGCAGGTGGAAGCCCCTGTGGCAGCAGCAGATGTGTTTCTAGAGATCGATGTGCAGGGGGCAAGTTCTGCAGGGTAGGGTTCTGGGGTTGGCCAGAGGGAAGTTGCCTGGGCGAGAACAAGGGGGTTCTCTGGGATGTTCATTTTAGGTTTGAGTTACAAGATTGTAGGACAAAATTAGGTGGGAGGGAACTGGAAACTAGCAGTTGGGGGAAAATTGGGATATACAGGTTGTATATAAATTAGGGTCTTCTAGGATGGCAGACCACCCTAGGGCTGAAATTCCCAGAGCCACTGAAACTTAGAGCTGAGCTGGGAGTGGTGGCTCATGTCTGTAATCCCAGTACTTTGGGAGGCTGAGGCAGGCGGATCACAAGCTCAGGAGTTCAAGAACAGCCTGGCCAACATGGTGAAACTGCATCTCTACTAAAATACAAAAATTAGCTAGACATGGTAGCACATGCCTATAATTCCAGCTACTTGGGAGGCCGAGGCAGGAGAACCTGGGAGGCGGAGGTTGCAGTGAGCCGAGATTGTGCCACTGCCCTCCAGCCTGGGTGGTAGAGTGAGACACGGTCTCAAAAAAAAAAAAAAAAAAAAAAGTTGGAGCTGGGAGAATCTTAGAAATCACACAGAACTGAATTACCAATTACCTTGGCCTCTGGGGTTGTGTGGTTCAATTGTGTGGAATAAATGAAAAGGAAGCATCCCTGGTTTGAGGGTGCTCTGTCTGGGTATGCCTGCTGTGGGGGTGACTAGCAAAGCCCAGAGGAGGGACCCACCTTGGTGCCAATGTCACGGCTCTTGGCCCTCAGCTTGTTGACCTGGGACTCGGCAATGTCCGCCCGCTCTTCCGCCTCATCCAGCTCGTGCTGCACCTTGCGGAACTTGGACAGGTTGGTGTTGGCTTGCTCCTCCTGCGGGAGGTGGGAGCATGAGGTGAGAGGGGGCCTGGGTTCTCTGACCTCTGGCTTGGGGGACGAGCTCTCCTATGCCACCCCTGGACCTAGTCCCCATCAGGGTCACTCACCGCCTCCTCGGCCTGGCGCTTGTAGGCCTTGACCTTTAGCTGCAGCTTGTCCACCAGGTCCTGCAGCCGCAGCAGGTTTTTCCTGTCCTCCTCCGTCTGGGGGCCAGAGGATAGGCAGGGGGTGAAGATGGCACAGTCATAGAAAGTAGCATCCCCTCTGCCCTGCCCTGCTTCATCTGACATCCTGACCCAATTCTACTTTCTGATCCTCACTGAACACTTGAATTCTCCTTATAATTTCTTACCTGATAGGTGTAAATATTTTAAATGATCTGTACCAGGAAGAAGTCCAAAGAACTAGTGGGACTCCTGAAACTATGCACAAAATTGTGTGTGTGCAGTGCTCCAGGGAGCAGGTTTTTCAGGGTCCGGGGACCCCATGGAGAATAAATTCCCCTGCTCTGGACCTCAGCATGTGCTGGGAGTGACTTTGGGGCTATGAGTATGATGGAATTTCCTGGGCTGCAATGCAGATGACACTGACTTAATCTAGGTTAAGGACAAAGTGTGCTTAGAGGGATGGTGACATCCTGGATTGGAAAAGAAACAAATTCTAATTCAGAGTCTGATTCTAGAAAACACCTCGGAAAGCTAGAGTCCACACTGCCTTGGGTAATGGAAAAGTTTTGATGCTTGTTTGAATGGGATTGATGTGTTTTTGGTGTCTGTTGGGGGTGACGCTGGTGAGCTGTGCTAGGTGAGCTTTGTCTGGAATTCTGTGTGTGTCTCCTGGGGATGGGCTGAGGGTGGGTGTTGAGATGGAGCTCAGGCCAGGAGGCTCAGAGACTGACCTCTGAGCTAGGGGACATTCAGGGTGGGGTAGGGCTAGGCAAAGTGAAATGGGGGCTGCATTCCCACCCTCGCCCTGGAAGAGGCTAAGAGCAAACTCTTCATTCTCCTTAGCTGGCTGTCACCGTGGTCATGGTGTCAGGGCTCTGCCTGGAGTCACCGCCCGCCGCACCTGGTAGGTGAGCTCCTTGATGCGCCGCTCGCTCTTCCTCATGCCCTTCACAGACTCCGCATTGCGTTTCTGCTCTGCCTCTAGCTCATTCTCCAGCTCCCGCACCCGCGCTTCCAGCTTCTGCAGCTGCTTCTTGCCGCCCTTGAGGGCGATCTGCTCGGCCTCGTCCAGCCGGTGCTGCAGGTCCTTAATGGTCTGCTCCATGTTCTTCTTCATGCGCTCCAGGTGGGCGCTGGTGTCCTGCTCCTTCTTCAGCTCCTCTGCCATCATGGCGGCCTGTGTGCAGCAGAGAGGTGGCACATGGTCTGGTCAAGTCCTCACACACTCACGCCCCAGCCCACGGAGAGACACATCTGGATCGGGTGGGTGGAGGGAGGCACTCACATCTGTGATGGCCTTCTTGGCTTTCTCCTCGGCGTTCCTGCACTCCTGCACTGCCTCCTCCACTTCAGTCTGCAGTTGGGACAGGTCAGCATCCATCTTCTTCTTCTGATTGATGAGGCTGGTGTTCTGGGTTGGGGGAGGGGTGGGCAGAGCACGAAAAGCATTGAGCATCTATGCGTAGCTCTCAAGCCTTGCTTGCTGAGTCCCAGTCTGTACTCTCTTCAGGAATGAGCAGGGGAGCCGCTCACCTGGGAATGCAGCAACTGCACCCGCTCGCTGGTCTCAATCAGCTCCTGCTCTGCCAGCTTCCGAGACCGCTCTGTCTGCTCCACCACGGCACGCAGCTCCTCCAGCTCAGCCTGCAGCAGGTTGTTGCGCCGCTCCACGATGGCGATGTTCTCCTTCAGGTCGTCGTTGGCGCGGACCGCGTCGTCCAGCTGAATCTGGGTGTCCTGAGGATCAGGAGAGTGGGCATGAGTGGGGAGCCAGCCTCGGTGCCCTTCACCGAGGGCACCTGTCAGAGGTCCCTGCAGTGACCCAGGGTCAGGAGGAATCTGGTGCCTGTGTTGAGACACCACTGCTTCTTCAGGCCACGTGGAGGCCAGTCCCCTCCGGGTGAGGGGACCTTCTCCCCCTGTGTACCTTCAGCAAGCTCTGGAGGCTCTTGACTTGCTTCTGGGCCTCAGCGGCCATGCGGTTGGCATGGCTGAGCTGGATCTCCATCTCATTGAGGTCTCCTTCCATCTTCTTCTTCACCCTCAGGGCCTCGTTGCGGCTGCGTGTCTCTGCGTCCAGGGAAGTCTGCAGCGAGTCCACCACCCGCAGGTGGTTGCGCTTGGCCTGTTCCATCTCCTCGTCCTTCTCTGCCAGCTTCCGCTCAATCTCTGCCTTGATCTGGTTGAACTCTAGCTGGGCCCGGAGGATCTTGCCTTCCTCGTGCTCCAGGGAGGCCTGGGAAGGGGTGGGGGAGGGGATGCAGGCAGACAGTCAGGGCACAGGGCAGGGTGGGGATCTGTTCACTAATCACGGATACAAAGTGAGTTCAAGAGTGGTGTAAGTGGTTCAGTCAAAGATGCAGGACGTGGAGGAAAAGAGAATCTAAGAGAAAATAAAAATAAACCTAAGGAAAGGTGATTCAGGCCCTCACAGGGGAGAGCTAGCTATGAAGACAAGGAGGGAAATGAAGAGAAAGGTGTTGCCAAGGAAACAGAGGCAATCAGGTATAGAGTATAAAAGAAAACAGGCAGGCAGAGGTGGGAACCGGGAGGTGTGTGGAAATGGGAAACTCGGCTAAGATGCAACGGGTAAAATGTTTATATGAAGGGAGTTCAGTGACTAGTCATTCATTTACTCCACAAATCTTCATTGAGTGCCTACTATGTGCCAGGCTCTGTCCTAGGCTCTGGGGATGGGACAGTGAACAAAGCAGACAAAGCGGGGGATGAGAACAGGGACCAAAAGCCTGAAGCTCAGCTCCCTGCACCCCATGCCCTGCACACACACACACCTCGGCCTCCTCCAGGGCTGACTGCAGCTCCAGCTTCTCAGCCTCCAGCTGCTTTCGAACCTTCTCCAGCTCATGGATAGTCTTTCCGCTGGAACCCAACTGCTCAGTCAAGTCGGAGATCTCCTCTGTGTGGGGAACACGGTAACTTGGTTGAGGGCTGCTGAGGTCCAGTGGAGTTGGAGGGACATGCCTCTTTGCCCAGACCCCTCTTGGAGCCCCTGGGTGGCACCATATGGGGACACTGCCAGTGCAGCCCCTCCCCAGCCTCTCGGGCCCCCAGCACACCCTGAAGGTTCTTGTTCTCCCGCTTGAAGGTCTCCAGATGCTCCAGGGACTCCTCATAGGCGTTCTTGAGCTTGAAGAGCTCTGTGCTGAGGGAGCGAGCCTCCTTCTGTGAGGACTCCAGCTCCGACTGTGACTCCTCATACTTCTGTTTCCACTCGGCCAGGATCTGCCCAGGAACATGGCTCAGTCTTCAGCCCCCCAGCCTCAGCCCCATGTCCAGGGTCTGTCTCAGGACCTGCCTGGGCTCAGCCCTCCTCCCCCGCCTTCAAAGGGGACAGCTCTGGCCTCAGCCCCATGTCCAAGATCTGTCCCTGGCCCCGAGCCTGGGCTCAGCCCTGCCCTCCTCCCCAGCCTCCAAGGAGGATGGCTCTGGCCTCGCACTGAACCCCTCACGTCCCCTTGCCCTGCATGCTGGCTGCAGCCCTCACCCAGGGCCCACCTTGTCGAAGTTCCTCTGCTTCTTGTCCAGGGCTGCAGCAGCAGCATTGGAGCGCTCCACGTCCACCATCAGGTCCTCAATCTCATTCTGTAGCCGGTGCTTGGTCTTCTCCAGTGAGGAGCACTTGGCATTAACAGCCTCCACGGCCTCCTCGGCATCCTGCAGCCGCTGGGCCAGCTTCTTCCTGCCCAGGGGAAGGTGGGAGAGGGTGGGGAGGATGGAGGGTGTGGATGGGGACAAGAAGAAACAATATGAGCCTTCCAGAAGACAATCCTTGAAAACTCAGAAGTGTAGCTGGAGAAGCCTGAGGATAGGTCCCAGGGGCTGAGAATGGCAGGCAGAGGATCCCAGAAGGGTGTGGAGACAAAGGCACCCTCTGACCCTGGGCCAGCCTCTGGGCTGTGGACATGGAGGAAGTATGGGTTTCCTCAGCCCTCCCCACTCTTTCCCTGCCACAGTGCCCTGCCCCAGACGGAAGCACTCTGCCCTCAGACAAACCTTTTGTTCGTCTTATATTCGGATCAGAAACATAATTCGAGCAAAAAGCTTCCCTGAGAGGAGAAGGAGGTGGGGCCGGAACAGAGTCCTCCTATGTTGTCAAACACTAGCTAAGCATCTCCTGTGTAGGATCTGCTGAGGCTGGGGCTGGGCCAAGTCCTGCCTGCAACGGGGCCTCAGCCAGAAGTCAGGCTGCTCGGAACTCACTTGGCCTCCTCAAGCTCCTCAGTCCGCTGAATGGCATCCGTCTCATACTTGGTCCTCCACTGGGCCACCTCCGAGTTGGCCTTGGACAGGACGCGCTGCAGCTCAGCCTTGGCCTCCGTCTCCTCCTCATACTGCTCCCGCAGCAGGTCACAGTCATGCCGGGCTGACTGCAGTGCGTGGGCCAGGGCGTTCTTCGCCTGGGGAGGCATGGGCACCAGGAGGTGGGCTCAGCTTTCTCCATAAAGCAACCCCACCCTTGCCCTTCTCCTCACCCCAATGTCAACATCGTCCCTTGGCCTCATCTATGTCCAAACCCCTGGTGGACCTAGCATGGTTTACTGTTTGCTAATAACAAATAATGCCAATATGGCAGTGAACTATTTAAGAAAAGCTTCGTGGCCATTGGCCCTGAGCTTCTCCCCACACCAGACATGGTCATCACCGCTGCCATTTTACCTGGTTGGGGAGAGGGAAACAGGCTCAGAAAGGTTGGGGGACTTCCCCAAGATCACTGAGCTGTAAGAGGCAGGTTAGTATTGAACCCTGGTGTTTTTTAAAACTCATGTTCTTTCTCCTTTTTCATGAGACCACCAAAGTGCTAGGAATAGGCTCCAGTTTAATTTCTTTCTCCAGGTTGCAGGTTGCCCTGTGAATCCCAGGACCCATTTGTGCAGTCCTTACATCCCCTTGCTGTGCCTAGGCAAAGCCATCTCATGCCTCCCTAGCTCATTTCCTCTCCTCCTTCTCACACCTTGCCTCCCGCCCAGGGATGCAGCAAAAGCAGAGGGCCTCAGCCTGGGGAGTAGATGGCATGTGGTAGGGTTTGGGCTATGATTTCTTTTTAGAATTCTTGGAGAACAATTTGTCTATAGCCAGCCTTATTCCTGGGAAGGGAAGTGATGTCAACGCAAGGCTAGTCAGTGTGCTCCTTGCTTGGGCCAGGTGGCCGGAGTCTAGCCCTTACCTTAACCTCCTCCTCCAGCTGCCTCTTGAGGTCCTCCAGCTGCTGGGTGTAGGTGAGCTTGCCTCGGGTCAGCTGGGAGATCAGTGCCTCCTTTTCATCCAGCTGCCGGGACAGCTCACCTGGGGAAGTACCATTCTAGATCAGTACTCCTATCCCCACCTCCTCCCCTAACCCTCAGGCCCCATTCTTTGGAGAGACTCTGTGTCTCTGTATGCATGTATTGGTGTGTGCGGGAGGCTGGAGCGGCTCAGGAGGTTGGGGAGACTGTGGTAGGATCCATGGAGACCCTGCTCTGGGCTCACCATTCTCCGTTTGCAGCTTGGCCCGCTGGCTGGTGAGGTCATTGACAGAACGCTGGGTCTCCTCCGCCTTGCTCCGATGCTCATTCATCTGGTCTTCCAAGGTCCTGCACATCTTCTCCAGGTTAGCCTGAGAAGGGAAGGAGAGTTATATGATGGATGTTGGGGGTGGAGAGGGATGCAAATGAAGGGAGTGTAAGGGGTGCAACTAAAGGAGAAAGGAAGAGGAAGGTGTGGAAGGAAGAAGGGGATGGGAGAACCAGGCAGAGGAAGGGAAGTGGGAAAATGAACCATGAAGCAAGACAAACGACAAGGGGCAGAAAGTGGAGGTGGGAGGAGGAAATTGGAGGAGGGGAGGCTGAGCAGAGCCTGCCTTGGCCTTGATGATCTGCTCCATGTTGGAGGTCACGTCGTCCAGCTCCAGCTTGAACTCGCTCTTCTCCTTCTCCAGCTTCTGCTTCACCCGCTGCAGGTTGTCGATCTGCTCGCCCAGCTCTGCCACACTGTCAGCGTGCTTCTTGCGCAGGGCGGCGGCCGTGGCCTCGTGCTGCAGCGTGGCCTCCTCCAGGTCCCGCCGCATCTTCTGGAACTCGGCTTCGCGCTTCTTGTTCATCTCGATC